GGCGGGGTGTTGCGGCGGGGTGTTGCGCGCTGGGACTCACCACGCCGCCGCGCACAAAGAAGTTGAACTCGTCGGCGCGGAGGCTGCCGGCGGCCGCCAGGATGCGGGAGCAGAGGTGGAAGCTGAAGAGCAGCTTGTGGCGCTTGAAGAGGCTCTGACAGGCGTACCTACAGCGTCACCGCGGCCGCGTCACCCGCACACCGCCTAGGCACAACACCCGCACCCACGGGAGCGCTGCCACGGCGCGCGGTGTAGGTGTGCTGCTTGTACCCCGTGTCACGGTGTCACCCGCTCATGGTGTAGGGATGTCACCCATGCCAGCTGTAGGGGTGTCAGCCGCACACGGTGTAAAAGCACCACGCACACCCACAGTAAGCAGCCGCAGGGCCCACTGTAGTTATGGCACTGGCACGGCCACAACCACGTCACCCAAACATGCTGTAGTTACAGGACACGTGAGCGTGTCACCCATCCCAGGGACAGTTAGGAGTACAGGTAGAGCCACAGGCATGTCCCCCAGGCAGGTCAACGTGTGTCACCCGTCCCCGCTGCGGTTAGGGCATGGGTCCAGGTGCACACATGTCCCTCTAACACTGTGTGTCACCCGTGCCCATGGCAGCTGGGATACAGGTACAGACACAGACACATCCCCCAGACACACCGTGAGAGTGTCACCCATTCCTGTGGCTGTTAGAGGGCACCTACAGCCGCACACATGTCCCTCAGACACACCGTGTGTCACACATTCCTATGGCTGTTAGAGGCCATCTACAGCTGTAGACATGTCTCCTAAACACAGTGTGAGTGTCACCCATCCCTGTGGCTGTTAAGAGTGCATGTACAGCCGTAGACATGTCCGTCAGACACACCATGAGAGTGTCACCCGTTCCTGTGGCTGTTAGAGGGCATCTACAGCTGCAGACATGTCTCCTAGACACACTGTGAGTGTGTCACCCACTCCTGTGGCTGTTAGAGGGCACCTACAGCCGTAGACATATCTGCTAGGCACACCGTGAGAGTGTCACCCGTCCCTGTGGCTGTTAGAGGGCACCTACAGACGCAGACATGTCCCTCAGACACACCATGTGTCACCCGTCCCTGTGGCTGTTAGAGGGCACCTACAGCCGTAGACATGTCCCTCAGACACACTGTGAGAGTGTCACCTGTCCCTGTGGCTGTTAGAGGGCATCTACAGCTGTAGACATGTCCCTTGGACACACCATGAGTGCGTCACCCATTCCTGTGGCTGTCAGAGGGCACCTACAGCCGTAGACATGTCTCCTAGACACACAGTGAGAGTGTCACCTGTCCCTGTGGCTGTTAGAGGGCATCTACAGCTGTAGACATGTCCCTTGGACACACCATGAGTGCGTCACCCATTCCTGTGGCTGTCAGAGGGCACCTACAGCCGTAGACATGTCTCCTAGACACACTGTGAGAGTGTCACCCGTCCCTGTGGCTGTTAGAGGGCACCTACAGCCGTAGACATGTCCCTCGGATACATCGTGTGTCACCCATCCCTGTGGCTGTTAGAGGGCATCTACAGCTGTAGACATGTCCCTTGGACACACCATGAGTGCGTCACCCATTCCTGTGGCTGTCAGAGGGCACCTACAGCCGTAGACGTCTCCTAGACACACGGCGAGCGTGTCACCCATCCCCGCAGCGGCCAGGGCGCCCGGACAGCCCCAGCGCGTCCCCGGGGCCGGCGCGAGCGCGTCAGCCGCGGCGCACCTGTACACGGCGTAGGTGTGGTAGTCGTTGAGCGCGCGGATGCGCTCGTCGAGCTTGGCGCTGCGCGGGCTGCGCTGCAGGCTGCGCCCGAAGAGCTCCACGTAGGCGTCCAGCGAGAACTGGTAGACGGGCTCCAGCTTGGCCATGTCGGCCAGCGCGAAGAAGAGGAGGGCGGCGCGCTGGGCGCACGGCCGGTACGCCTGGCGGGTGACGGCGTGACGGTGGCGGTGACGGTGACACGGCAGCGACGGGGACGCGGTGGTGACAGTGACGGGGATGCGGTGGCGGTGATGGGGATGCGGTGAAAGGGATGGGGATGCGGTGGCAGTGACGGGGACGCAGCGGTGACGGGGACGCGGCGGTGGGGACAGGGACGTGGTGGCGGGGACGGGGACAGCGGCGGTGACGGGGACAGTGGTGGTGACAGGGATGGGGACGCGGTGGTGACGAGGATGTGGCGGCGGGGACAGGGACATGGCGGTGACGGGGACGCGGCAGTGACAGGGATGCAGCAGTGACAGGGACGCAGTGGTGGGGACGGGGATGTGGTGGTGGTGACAGGCACGGGGACGTGGTGGTGACGGGGACGCGGTGATGGGGATGAGGATGCGGTGATGGTGACAGGGATGGAGACGCGGTGGTGGTGACAGGGACACGGCGGTGATGGGGATGGCAGCAGGGACGGGGACGCAGTGGCGGTGACGGGGACAGTGACGGGGACGTGATGGCAGGGACGGGGACGCAGTGGTGGTGATGGAGACGCGGTGGCGGTGATGGGGACGCGGTGGTGGGGACAGGGATGCGGTGGCGGTTACAGGGATGGGGACGTAGCAGTGATGCTGATGTGGTGATGGGGATGAGGATGCGGTGGCGGTGACGGTGACGCAGTGGCAGTGATGGGGACGCGGTGGTGACGGTGGCGGTGACGGGGACGCCGGGGCCCGCGGCCGCTGACCTCACGCGCGCGGTCGATGACCACCTCGGTGCTCTGGCTGCTGCCCAGGCGCTCGGCCACCTCGGCCGCCGTGGCCTTGGAGCCCTCGAGCGCCGTCACCAGCTGCGCGTCCTCCAGCAGCGAGCCGGCCGCCTCGTCCAGCAGCCTGCGGGCGCGCGTGGCACCGGCAACGGGCACAGCGCCGGAGACAGTGACGGGCATGGGGACGGGGACAGGGATGGGGATGGTGACAGGGATGGGGACAGGTGGCACTGGGGATGGGGACAGTGCTGATGGGGACAGGGATGGTGATGGCAATGGTGACGGGGATGGGGACAGGGATGGTGACGGGGACGGGGATGGTGACGGGGATGGCAGTGGGGATGCGGATGGTGACAGGGATGGGGACGGGGACAGCGCCGGGGACGGTGATGGGGATGGGGGACGATGACGGGGATGGTGACAGGGATGGTGCCGGGGATGGTGCCGGGGACAGCGATGGCACCGGGGCCGGGCACGGCACCCACCGCAGGATCTCGTCCTCCAGCTCGTCCAGGCGGGCCTTGCCGGCGGCGATGGCGCGGACCAGCGCGTCCTTCTGCTCCTCGAGCTCGGGGCGCTCCTCGCGCACCACCACGGCCAGCAGCTGCGCCTCCAGGCCCTGCGGGGGACAGGGTGCTGCGGGGGACACCGCCCGGCGGGGACAGCACCGCTGAGGGTGACACCACCCTGAGGGTGACACTGCCCTGAGGGTGACACCGCCCTGCGGGGACAGCACCGCTGCGGGTGACACTGCCCTGCGGGTGATACTGCCCCTGAGGGTGACACTGTCCCTGTGGGTGACACCACCCTGAGGGTGACACTGTCCCTGAGGGTGACACCACCCTGAGGGTGACACCGCCCTGCGGGAGACAGTGACCCTGCAGGTGGCACTGCCTTGTGGGTGACACTGCCCCTGTGGGGGACACTGCCCTGTGGGTGACACTGCCCTGCGGGTGACACCGCCCTGCGGGTGACACCGCCCTGCGGCTGACACCAGCCTGCGGGTGACACTGCCCTGCGGGTGACACCGCCCTGCGGGTGACACTGGCCTGCGGGTGACACTGCCCTGCGGGTGACACCGCCCTGCGGGTGACACCGCTGTCCCCGCCGGTACCTGCTCGAGCAGCGCGAAGTTGACCACCGTGGTGTGGGCGACGGTCTCCGGCGGGAAGTGGGGGTTCGCCAGCTTGGTGGCCAGGTACAGGCGGAAGTCGGGGTGACACTCCACGGTGCCCTCGCCCAGGCCCAGCAGCAGGCGCCCGTCTGGGTCCGCGGCGGGGGGACAGGGTGCCAGTTGGGCGGGCTGCAGGCGACGGGCCCAGGCGTCCGGGGCTCCCCGGACACCCCACACTGCTCCCCGGGGGGCCCCAGGAACCCCCCCCCCCAAACTGCCAGGGGGCCCAGACACCCGGGTGCTCCCTCCCCCAGGGCACCCAGGGGTTTGGGTGCTCCCACCCTAAGGGTCCCAACACCCCCGGTGTCTGGGTGCTCCCTCCCCCAGGGGGCCCAGGTGTCCGGGTGCGTGTTGGGGTGCTCTCCCACCCCATGGGGACCCAGGCACCCAGGTGCTCCCTCCCCCGGGGGGCCCAGGCGCCCGGGTGCTCCCCCTCCCCAGAGAACCCAAGTGTTGGGGTGCTCTCCCACCCCATGGGGACCCAGACACCCGGGTGCTCCCTCCCCCAGGGGCCCAGGTGTCCGGGTCCGTGTTGGGGTGCTCTCCCACCCCATGGGGACCCAGACACCCGGGTGCGCCCTCCCCCGGGGGGCCCAGGTGTCCTGGGGCTCCCCCCATCTGGGTGCTCCTTCCCCCAGGGGGCCCAGGTGTCCAGGCCCCCCCACCCGGCACGGGGCCCAGGCGTCCGGGCCCCCCTCCCGCCCCCGCACGGGGCCCAGGCGTCCGGGGCTGACCGGGGCCGGGCCGGGGGGGCGCGAGCGCGGGGCCCAGCGCCGGCTCCAGCTCCTCGCCCACGTCCTGCAGCAGCACCGGGTGCCCCAGGGGGGCCGCGCGCGCCAGCACCCCCAGCGCCTCGGCCGCCTCCTCCGCCGACGTCACCCGCAGGCCCTGCACCGCCCGCCGCGTCCCCCGCGTCACCCGGCTGGGGCAGCACCCCGGGACACGCGGGGAGCCGGGGGACAGCGAGGGGACGCCCCGGGGACACCCTGGGGACACCCCGGGGACACCCCGGGACACACGGGGAACCAGGGGACAGCAAGGGGACACCCTGGGGACACCCCGGGGACACCCCGGGCCATGCGGGGAACCAGGGGAGAGCGAGGGGACACCCCGGGGACACCCTGGGGACACCCCGGGGACACCCCAGGGACACCCCGGGGACACCTAGGGGACACCCCAGGACACGCGGGGATCCGGGGGACAGCAAGGGGACACCCAGGGGATACAGGAGGAACCAGGGGACAGGGAGGGGACACCCTAGGGGACACCCAGGGGACACCCCAGGGACACACCTAGAGGACACAGGAGGAACCAGGGGACACAGAGGGGACACCCAGGGGACACCCAGGGGACACAGGAGGACCCCAGGGACACCCCCGAGTACATAGGGGACCTGGGGGACGTGGGAGGTGCCAGGGGACACCCAGGAGGCCTCCAGGGACACCCAGGGGGCTCAGGGCAACCCAGGGGACGTGGGGGGACACCCAGGACCCATCGGGAGACCCAGGGGTGGGCAGGGGCACCCACAGGACACAGGGGGGTGACAGGGGACCCAGAGGGGACTCTGGAGATGCTGGGAGGGGCCCCAGGAAGGGACATGGGCACCCCGGGGACATGGGCACCCTGGGGACATGGGCACTCCAGGGACATAGGGACCCCAGGGACATGGGGACCCTGGGGACATGGGCACCCCGGGGACATGGGCACCCCGGGACGGGGCACCCCGGCCTCACCCGCGGCTCCTCCATGCTCTTGATCCACCTGCAGGCCTGGCCCTGGGGGTCGATCATGAGGGGCCACCTGGGCACACGGGGGGGGACACGGGGGGTGACACGGGGCTCGGGGGGGGCAGGTCGCAGTCCCCCCATGGCCACAGGTGCTCCCAGGCCCAACCAGTCTCCCTAGGGTCCCCAGCGCCCCCCCTCCGTGTCCC